AGTCTAGATCCGGCTGCCTTAACATAGCTCAGTTTTACACACCTCGATGTTTTAACAACACAGTTTGTACACAAAACATACCCTCAACTACTAAGGGTCTGAATAGGTTGGGCCCTAGGGCTTCCCGAAGCAAGGGTCTAACATGGTGCTTGGTATTAGTTTAGACCTTAAGCCCCTATCATTCTAGACCCTGCAATACGGACGTAGTTCTTCCATTTTAGACCCTACATAGTGGATGCATTTTCACTTTGGTTTTATCATTTTAGACCTTAGTCAGGTTGATATATGTTTTTTATGCAAATACAATGCAAAATGACAGGTTCTAGTTCCAAACTGTTGCAAATACAAAGCAAATGGTACCGGGAAAGAAAGCCGGAAAAAGATCCAAAACCTGAAATGGTCCGAGAATGGTGTGTTTTGATGTGTTTTGCACATTTTGACTTCGATATGTGCTTCGCGCCACAACGGTGTGCAATTTTTCATCTCTCATCTGGCCAGCTGGCTCCGCACCCACCGCTTTAGCGAGCCTACTTTTCGACCCTCCGGAGCCCCAAATCATTGGAAAAACACAGTGTTTCGCGACTTTCCTACCTTTTCGCGCACCTGCATCTTCTTTCTTCTGACTCTTTCTCTTCTCTGATCTTCTCTCTTCTACTCTTCTCTTCTCTCTGACTCTTTCCATCTCTGCTTTTCATCTGTCTATATTGTCGGAAGTTTGACTTCTAAACTTCCTTCGACAATAGTTTAGTATTCTTCTAAGAGCAGGGAAGGGGCTACCAGTTTAACGAAGATAAATCTTGAATCCTGAAACCTTGTTTCATATGTTTTCTGCTTCTATGGTTGTCAAATCTTGTGAGCTAGGTAGAGATAGGTAGGTCTGAACGCCGCAGACATTCCAGAGGAGATGTGGTCTTGATGCTTGATGCACGATCAGGTTTGTTGGCGAGCCTTTTTCTGGCTCAAGTTTTTGAGGCATGGAGAAGCCTAAAGCGCCACCGAACCCTCCTCCCTGCACGAAGTGCGGGGAGAAAGGGCTGTCAATTGTGTGGGATCCACACCTCCTGTTGTACAGGAGCAAATGCAGTAGAGTTAGCAGCACACCAAACAATCCAAACCGGAAATCGCCCCATGAAGCCTTCACGATGCTTTGATTTTGCTTCAGGTTTATTTTGGATTTTTGTATTTGTGTTTTTTGGCCACTATTTTTTCAATTTAATATCTCATCACCACAGAGTTCCAGAAGAAAAACCTGCTGCAGGCCCGGTGACGGAGTTCCTTGGGAATGGTTTTCAGTGATTCCCAAAGTTGAGGACCATGGTGAGGGCAGTGATCCATTCACTCATGGTGCCCAGGAGTAATTACACATAATATTGTTGATTTATTTTGATTTGTCATTTCATTGAACCACAGCCCAGACAATCTCACATTATTCAACTCGGCAGGACCGATCGAAGTGGTCCAAATCCTTGAGACTCAAACTCGACAAAGTGGAAGCGCAGGCCTGCGATTCCAGGATGATCCAAAATATGTTCTGATTTTTTAATACGCTCCTGGTTGAGATCATGGGTCCAAAATGATAATCCCACCCAAAAGTATTGGGAAATCAGGTGACATGGCTCCAAGGAAACAATCTTAGACCTCAGCAGCTCCTGAAAAATAAGTTTAACCACCAATCGATGTGATCGTTTTATGGGCTCCTGGCTGAGATCATGGGTCCAAAATGATAATCTCACCCAAAAGTACATGGAAATCAGGTGGCATGGCTCCAAGAAAACCATCTTAGACCTCAGCAGCTCCTGAAAAATAAGTTTAACCACCAATCGATGTGATCGTTTTATGGGCTCCTGGCTGAGATCATGGGTCCAAAATGATAATCTCACCCAAAAGTACATGGAAATCAGGTGGCATGGCTCCAAGAAAACCATCTTAGACCTCAGCAGCTCCTGAAAAATAAGTTTAACCACCAATCGATATGATCATTTTATGGGCTCCTGGCTGAGATTATGGGTCCAAAATGATAATCCCACCCAAAAGTACATGGAAATCAGGTGGCATGGCTCCAAGAAAACCATCTTAGACCTCAGCAGCTCCTGAAAAATAAGTTTAACCACCAATCGATAGGATCATTTTATGGGCTCCTGGCTGAGATCATGGGTCCAAAATGATAATCCCACCCAAAAGTACATGGAAATCAGGTGACATGGCTCCAAGGAAACCATCTTAGACCTCAGCAGCTCCTGAAAAATAAGTTTAACCACCAATCGATGTGATCATTTTATGGGCTCCTGGCTGAGATTATGGGTCCAAAATGATAATCTCACCCAAAAGTACATGGAAATCAGGTGACATGGCTCCAAGAAAACCATCTTAGACCTGATTAGTTCCTATGAATGCTGCCAAGATGGGCCAATGTGAGGGAATGACTTTTAATAGATAGATGTGGAAGATGGCAAATTGGAGATCCTTGCCCAAGGATGAATCGACACAACCTTCGGCAGCTGGCTTGGGACCCCAGAACTTTTGGATAGGGTTTCAAGTTGAGCTACTTTTTGAAGCTAGTGACAAGGGTTAGCTCAAGGATAGGGTGCCCTCTGAACTCTTCCTCAATTTCGGTCAGTGCATAGCAGGACAGGTACTTCTGACACCATTTGGCACTCCACAATGCACCACCACCAGCCATGCCAAGGCAATGCGGGTACTGCCCAGAGCTGTGAGGGTGGAGAGTCGAAAAGCAAGAAGGTGCCAGAGTAGTTGGTTGATGCCACAAAACATGGGCATGGTGTGTGTGTGTGTTGCTGGCAGCCCCTGTAACATATTTTCACAGCCATGACATGACCAATGCTCTGGGATGCTTTGGGGCCCCATGGCTGCTTGCTCATCAGGATGAATCGACAGGTCTTGCAGTCGGTGCGGGGCCACAGTGGGCCACAGTGGTGCAACATGGTGCAAATGCAAATGTAAAGGCAACATGCCTGCACACATGTGCAGGTAAGCAGTGTGTGCAGTGAGAGTTTGTAGCTTGTTTCTTGCAAGTTCTTGTTGTCAGTCACCATCTATGTGCAGAAATGGTATTGATCCATATTGATTCTAATCAACAAACCTGTGGCCATTTGACAATTTGAGGACAGACTGCGGCTTCAAGCAATGGGGGTGATTTGTCGGAAGCAAAGAAGGCATTGGCACGTGTGGGCAGGCAACAGTGTGATGATGCAAGCCTGGAACAGATTGAAATATTGTTTGTAATCTTCTGAAGGCATGTCAAGTTGTCACCAGCCACTCCAAACCAAAATGGTCCGAATATATCCGAATATATATTGGTTTTGTAATGAGTGCTCAGCAACCTAGCATTGGTTTTGGTTTGCAGGAAATAACTTTGCACCGGTTTTGCCCAGCTTGCTTGACAGGACGAATTGGCAGCTGAAGCTGCTGGCAGGGGACCATAGAGTTTGGGAATCTCCGAGTCTGTAACCCAATTGTTCTATATACTTGGGTTTCTTGGGCCCTCCCAATGAAGCCAGGGTACAACAAAAAGATACAAAAAGGGCATCAATTGTTTAAACATGTTTAAAACATTTTGTGGGAACTTAGGGGTCTAACATTTGAACCTGGCAGCACAAACCATGAATCCCACCAAAATACCGTTTCAGAATACCATCTTAGACCATGGGTTGAACCCAGGAGCCTTCAAGAAGACAATGTTGGGTTTATAAATGGATGCAGTTCTGGGTCAGAAGATGGGGTCTACAATGAAACCTCACATGCCATCACCCGGTTTTTAAAAGGCAAAGGGTTGGAGAAAACCGTTTTAGACCCTCCCAATGAAGCCAGGGTACCACAAAAAGGGCATCAATGTTTTGAATCATTTTGTGGGAACTTAGGGGTCTAACATTTGAACCTGGCAGCGCAAACCATGAATCCCACCAAAATACCGTTTCAGAATACCATCTTAGACCCTGGTTTGAATCCAGGAGCCTGCAAGAAGACAATGTTGGGTTTATAAATGGATGCAGTTCTGGGTCAGAAGATGGGGTCTACAATGAAACCTCACATGCCATCACCCGGTTTTTAAAAGGCAAAGGGTTGGAGAAAACCGTTTTAGACCCTCCCAATGAAGCCAGGGTACCACAAAAAGGGCATCAATGTTTTGAATCATTTTGTGGGAACTTAGGGGTCTAACATTTGAACCTGGCAGCACAAACCATGAATCCCACCAAAATACCGTTTCAGAATACCATCTTAGACCATGGGTTGAACCCAGGAGCCTTCAAGAAGACAATGTTGGGTTTATAAATGGATGCAGTTCTGGTTCAGAAGATGGGGTCTACAATGAAACCTCACATGCCATCACCCGGTTTTTAAAAGGCAAAGGGTTGGAGAAAACCGTTTTAGACCTTCCCAATGAAGCCAGGGTACCACAAAAAGGGCATCAATGTTTTGAATCATTTTGTGGGAACTTAGGGGTCTAACATTTGAACCTGGCAGCGCAAACCATGAATCCCACCAAGATATCATTTCAGAATACCATCTTAGACCATGATTTGAACCCAGGAGCCTTTAAGAAGGCATTGCTTGGGTTTTGACAACTTGATCTGCATTTCATGTTTGCTGCAGCTTCTCAGGCAGCAACTCGAGTGAGAAGAAACCTAGCAGTCCATCTGCAAAAATGAAGGACTCCGCATCGGCAGGAAGGGTTGTAGTGAAATGGGATGATGGGGGCGCATCTTTTCATGACAGAAACACCCAACTTGCTATGGATTAGTTCATTGTTTGGGAGCAATTTTGCACTGGGCTTAGCTCATCTGTCTGCGCATTGGACTTTTTGATACTTTTTGGGTAGCTTTGGGTCTTGCCAATTTCTTGCCCCGTCCTGCTTTGGGTGGTTCTCAAACCAGAGGTCTGAAGTTGCACCCTGCTGGAACACCGGTTTCGAATCTGTTCGAAGCAGGATGGTGCATTTGTTTTATTTTGTCCTTCTCATGGGAAACCTGCACTGTGAAGCCATGAAGAATCGCGCAGCCAAGCTAAAAGACGACGTGTTGTCGTCCGGCGGTGAAAGCACCTGGTGGGACGCTTTCGCCCACATGAACGAATTGGAGCAATACTGCCAAAATTTTCAGGGCTCTCAGTGGCTAGATGTCCTAGACATCTTCGCGCACGGGCGCGGAATGGAAGGGGTAGTAGGTTCTCGCACCTGCACCTCGTTTGATATCCGACTCGAGCGGGTGCGTCATGATTTGACGACTCGACGGGGCACCCTTATGCTATTGGGTTTAGGTATGAGCTTGACCCATGGCGCCCTTGTAACGGCTGCACCACCATGCAGCCTCTCTATCTTTATCAGCAGTTCCGTCCACAAAAGGCATTTGTTTGGCCCACTGGGTGATGAATCCAATTGGAAAGTAAGGCTATCAAACAGGATCGTGCTGAACCTGGTGGGGTTTGGGGCAAACATGGTCCGATTAGGTTCAAAATGGAATGGTTTGGTTTTGTAAGGTTCCAAGTTTTGATCCCATACGTGGCCTTTGTTACTTTGTTTCCTGCTTCCCTTGTAGGTGGCTGTGCTGATGTGCCTCGGCACCTTTCGCAGCTTTTCCCTGGCCATCGAACAGCCGAAGAGCACGTGGATGTTTGGCTTGCCTCAGATGATTGAGTTGTTCACGCAGCGGAAGATGCAGAAGTACTTGACATACCTGGGACATTTCGTAACTAGGCACAATTCAAAAGCATTCCAGGAGTCATTGCCACATGTCACCTTTGCATATCTTTTGAGCACTTTTGGATTTTTTTGGAATAGGTATTTTAAGTTTTGGTCGACCATTTGGTCATTCGAAACTAAGGGATGCCCTATCGCAAAGCCAACATGGATCATGACAGACTTGGCTGCTGACAGTTTGCGAGTGCGAATGTCAGAGGAAACCAAAGCCAGGTGCAAGAGGAATGCTGAAAAATATTACAAGAAGGAGGTTGTGGAAGGCAGAGTGCGGGTGTCTGGGAAGAAGGCACTTAGCCTGACGGCCAAGTGGCCAAAACTGTTTTGTCGTGCATTGTACAGCATTTGGCTGCAGCACTCCGACCAAGTGCATTAAGCCCTGGTTCCTTGGGTGAGCTGGGACACTTGTTGCTGTGAAGTAGCTGCCAAGCCAGTGCAGACAATCAGTTGCTGTTGCCCGTTCCCAATAGTGGCCACCTGTGACACGTGCCGTCAAAAAATGTTGATTGGCCCTGCATGTGGTTGATAAATCTGTCATATTGGGTTGCCAATTTTGAACCAAGTTTGGTACTGAATGGTAGAATCCAAAGCCCAAGAATGTCAAGCTAAAGCAGGTTCCCCAGTCCCATTGTTCACACATGCTCACACCATTGTGCATCAGCCAGGACGCCGTTGCTGAGAAGAAAGAAGGCTGGTCTAAGGGTCTGGGGTTATTGCAGGGGGTCTAACTTGGTTTTCCAATACCCTGAAGGATGGTTTTGGATTGTTAATTGGAACCCAAAACCATTATAGACCCATGATATGGATAATTATTGCCTTTACTTTGTGGGTGTTCATCCATGGGTTTGGGGTCACTGCCAGGGGTCTAACTTGGCTTTCCAATACCCTGAAGGATGGTTTTGGATAGTTAATTGGAACCCAAAACCATGTTAGACCCATGATATGGATATTGCCCTTTACTTTGTGGGTGTTCATCCATGGGTTTGGGGTCACTGCCAGGGGTCTAACGTGGTTTTCCAATACCCTGAAGGATGGTTTTGGATAGTTAATTGGAACCCAAAACCATTATAGACCCATGATATGGATATTGCCTTTACTTTGTGGGTGTTCATCCATGGGTTTGGGGTCACTTCCAGGGGTCTAACTTGGTTTTCCAATACCCTGAAGGATGGTTTTGGATAGTTAATTGGAACCCAAAACCATGTTAGACCCATGATATGGATATTGCCATTGCCCTTTACTTTGTGGGTGTTCATCCATGGGTTTGGGGTCACTGCCAGGGGGTCTAACTTGGTTTTCCAATACCCTGAAGGATGGTTTTGGATAGTTAATTGGAACCCAAAACCATCTTAGACCCATACTGTTGGGATGTATCGGTTTAAGATGGTTTAAGGTAAGTCATGTCCAAATGTTCCAATAGGACCAGGGGAGCAGCTGCCGCCTGCAGGTGCAGAGACTGACAAGTCGAAAGTTGCAGAAGGCTGGGTTTGAACCCGGGACCTGCTGCAAGTCTTAAGTGGCTCGTTGGAACCCTTAGCTCTGGTTGTCGTTCATAAAGAGCCACCCTAAACCACGTATGTTGCAATCTTGGGACTGCATTCACCCATGGGTTTGGGGTCACTGCCAGGGGTCTAACTTGGTTTCCCTGCAGCCTGAAGGATGGTTCTGGATAGTTCACTGCAACCCAAAACCATTGTAGATCCATGAGGGTGGTGATGGCATGCGGTGGAGCTTTACTTTTGGAGGTCATTCTTCCAAGGGTTGTGTCCATGACTTATGATCTAGATTGGTTCATCATCACCCTGAACAATGGTTTTTGATCATGAACTGCCACCCAAAACCGTGGTAGACCCATGATGTGAAATGTCTTTGGTGGCTTTGGAAGCTCACCCCACCGCATACACACACACATAGAAAGTAGCTGTTTGGAACTCAAGCATTTGGCTGTGCCCCATAGTTCTCATCTCGCCCACTTGGCCATCAATCATGTCGTCAAGCCTCTCACAGCGCTTGAAGGCAGTGCAGGAGGAGATAGTGGTTGAACACAAAGCCCCTCGGGAGTTTTCGCTCGATGAGCTCAAGCAGATGACAGTGACATGGGGTCAAAAAGGCAAGGGGTCCACATTCATTCACATGTGGGATACAGACCAAAAATGGGTCAGCTGGCAGGTTAGTCACTATGAGACTTCGCCCAAAAAGGACCACGTCCTTTTCATTCATTTTGTGAGCATCATGATCGAGCGCCTTGAGCTGACCGGAGGCAAAGTCAAGGTTCCAGTCGCAGCACCCATCACCACCACAGAGCCGACGGAGGAAAACCTCATTGAAGAACGCCTTTCCCGGATTGAGAAGTTTTTGGGCATCAGCCCAAAAGCTGTTGGCGAAGAAGAACAGTAAGACAGTAAGTCAATGTCGGGTGTGGTTTGGTGATGTTTGGTGATGTTATGACAGGATCACCAGTGAAGCATGCAGCCTGAGGCTGGACAGCAGCATTTTGGTCAGGCACAGGCGGCAGAGGAGAAGAAAAAAATGTGTGTAGGGGCTTGCCTGTCCTGAATTTCATCTGACATATTGGAATATATTGGAGGGCCTTGGGTAATTGCTGGGGATAACTTGGTTTTCCATCACCACTGGGCATGATTTCTGATTGTTGGTGACTACCAGAAACCGTTTTAGACCCACTGCGATGTGTGGATGCACATTAGTTCGCCATTACCGTAGCAGATTCTTTTGGTAGGTGTTGCTTGTTGGTGTTTTTGATTGCGAGGATGTTGATCCATGGGTTTGGGGTCACTGCCAGGGGTCTAGCTTGGTTTTCCAATACCCTGAAGGATGGTTTTGGATAGTTAATTGGAACCCAAAACCATTATAGACCCATGATATGGATATTGCCCTTTACTTTGTGGGTGTTCATCCATGGGTTTGGGGTCACTGCCAGGGGTCTAGCTTGGTTTTCCAATACCCTGAAGGATGGGTTTGGATAGTTAATTGGAACCCAAAACCATGTTAGACCCATGATATGGATATTGCCCTTTACTTTGTGGGTGTTCATCCATGGGTTTGGGGTCACTGCCAGGGGTCTAGCTTGGTTTTCCAATACCCTGAAGGATGGTTTTGGATAGTTAATTGGAACCCAAAACCATGTTAGACCCATGATATGGATATTGCCCTTTACTTTGTGGGTGTTCATCCATGGGTTTGGGGTCACTGCCAGGGGGTCTAACTTGGTTTTCCAATACCCTGAAGGAGGGTTTTGGATAGTTAATTGTAACCCAAAACCATCTTAGACCCATACTGTTGGGATGTATCGGTTTAAGATGGTTTAAGGCAAGTCATGTCCAAATGTTCCAATAGGACCAGGGGAGCAGCTGCCGCCTGCAGGTGCACAGACTGACAAGTCGAAAGTTGCAGAAGGCTGGGTTTGAAATAACATTGGAGAATAGAAAAAAAACATGGAAACTGATAGCTGGGTCTGGGAATCTGCTGGTTCGGCCGGCGGGCTGGTCTCGGGCAGGCTGGTGGATGGATGCAAGTAGACCTCTTTGAGCAGGTCTTAATTGATTTGCTCACCCCCTAAACGATGGTTTTAGTTCGTTCACTGCCACCCCAAACCATTATAGAACCATGTTGAACCTACAGAGCCAGATAAACAACCTTGGGCATCCCTTGGGCTATAGCAGCAGGGGAAAAACATGGAAACCAGGTGCAGACAGTGCCAACAAGACAGATCCTGAAGGCTGGGTCTGAGCTGGGAATCTGCTGGTTCGGCCGGCGGGCTGGTCTCGGGCAGGCTGGTGGATGGATGCAAGTAGACCTCTTTGAGCAGTTCTTAATTGATTTGCTCACCCCCTAAACGATGGTTTTGGTTCGTTCACTGCCACCCCAAACCATTATAGACCCCTGATATGGGGAACAGTTCTTTATTTTTGGGGATGTTCATCGATGGGCTTGGGGTCACTGCCAGGGGTCTAATTGGCTTTCCTAGCACCCTGAAGGATGGTTATGGATAGTTCACTGCAACCCAAAACCATTTTAGACCTATGATATGGGTACTTGGTGGCAATTGTCCTTTACTTTGAGGGTGTTCATCCATGGGTTTAGGGTCACTGCCAGGGGTCTAGCTTGGTTTTCCAATACCCTGAAGGATGGTTTTGGATAGTTAATTGGAATCCAAAACCATGTTAGACCCATGATATGGATATTGCCCTTTACTTTGTGGGTGTTCATCCATGGGTTTGGGGTCACTGCCAGGGGGTCTAACTTGGTTTTCCAATACCCTGAAGGATGGTTTTGGATAGTTAATTGTAACTCAAAACCATCTTAGACCCATACTGTTGGGATGTATCGGTTTAATTAAGATGGTTTAAGGTAAGTCATGTCCAAATGTTCCAATAGGACCAGGGGAGCAGCTGCCGCCTGCAGGTGCACAGACTGACAAGTCGAAAGTTGCAGAAGGCTGGGCTTGAAATAACATAGGAGAATAGACAAAAAACATGGAAACTGATAGCTGGGTCTAAGCTGGGAATCTGCTGGTTCGGCCGGCGGGCTGGTCTCGGGCAGGCTGGTGGATGGATGCAAGTAGACCTCTTTGAGCAGGTCTTAATTGATTTGCTCACCCCCTAAACGATGGTTTTGGTTCGTTCACTGCCACCCCAAACCATTATAGACCCCTGATATGGGGAACAGTTCTTTATTTTTGGGGATGTTCATCGATGGGCTTGGGGTCACTGCCAGGGGTCTAATTGGCTTTCCTAGCACCCTGAAGGATGGTTATGGATAGTTCACTGCAACCCAAAACCATTTTAGACCTATGATATGGGTACTTGGTGGCAATTGTCCTTTACTCCAAGTTGGGGCCATCTTGAGCGTATGTCGAGCCTATGTTGGGCCAAGAACGGTGTGTTCATCTGGGAATCTGGGCCCTTGCACCAGGGCCCAGATGAACACGCCCTTTTTGGGTCATGTGAGGCCCATGTTGGGGTTTCATGTCACGGCCATTTTGAAGCAATTTGGGGTTTCATGGAAGTGGCCGGAGGCCTGAAAAACTCCCAACGAAAAAACTTTTTGTTGGGTTTTTTTTTGGGTCTTGCTTGGAGGATACATTGGGCCATTTTGGGCCATGTGGGGGCCATGTTGGGGCCATGCTGGGGCTATGTGTGACCCATGTTGGACTGATGTTGGTCCATGTTGTCGAAGTTCCAATACCCTGAAGGATGGTTTTGGATAGTTAATTGGAATCCAAAACCATGTTAGACCCATGATATGGATATTGCCCTTTACTTTGTGGGTGTTCATCCATGGGTTTGGGGTCACTGCCAGGGGGTCTAACTTGGTTTTCCAATACCCTGAAGGATGGTTTTGGATAGTTAATTGTAACTCAAAACCATCTTAGACCCATACTGTTGGGATGTATCGGTTTAAGATGGTTTAAGGTAAGTCATGTCCAAATGTTCCAATAGGACCAGGGGAGCAGCTGCCGCCTGCAGGTGCA